TTAAGATGTGTATACTAAGGTGGGGAAAGAGTATGCTCTGAGGACGGTGGGGCATTTGTAGTCTAGCGAAGTGTAGGAACCTCAGGGGTGTGTGTATGTGCGTGTGTGCGTGTGCGTGTGTGCGTGTGTGTGCGTCTGTGTGCGTGCGTGCGCGTATGCGTGTGCGTGTGTGTGTGTTTGTGTCCCAGGGGGCTTTTCACAGCAGAAAAAGGTGTGGAGAGTGCGTATGGAAGGACTGGGAAGAGGAATTTCACAGATCCCCCCTCCCACTTCGTTTCTGGAAGAAGGTATTTTATTCAATGTGATTTTTGAGGTAATATATTTAAATTTCTGAGTACTGTTTGGTTTTGTACATCCATTCCTTGTGGTGGGCTGACTTCTGACAATATTTTGGAAGAGGACAGAAGCAAGACAAAAATAAAATACGCATTGTCTCCCCCCCTTCCACCACATGCTTTAGATGTCAGGCATGAAACATCCTGTAACAAAGTGGCCAATTCAGCCTTGCTTCCTGAATTGCTTCTCACAGTGACACAGACATTCGTCACAATTTCCCCTCTGCAGCTTCCCTGTGTACTCCCAAGAAAGTCCCAAACGACACACCAATTGCCAGACCCCACACACTGACGCAGCTTGTTACGGGCTTGGCATAGGCTGAAATGCAAAATGTATAATGAGACATTCCAGAGTGGCTGAAAGCGAGAGATTCCCCACTACCACCCAGGAGCTGCTGGGAGGGGAAGAGTCTCCCTAGGGCTTTCTAAATAGCTTCTGAGGCATTAAGAACAAAAGCCCCACAGTCTCCAGCTGGCAACTGCCATGGCTAATTTTATTTTTATCAGCAAAGCCCAAGGCAAGGATGCCTGAGAGAGACTGTGAAAAGAGTATTTTTCACTTTTTCCTCTGGCAGTTAGTCACAAACCAGAATTTGAAATGGCTCCAACTTGCACGCTTTGGAAGGAAGAGAAAGAAAGGAGACAGAGAGAGAGAAAGAGAGAGAGAGAGAAACAGAGAAAGAGAGAGAGAGAGAGAGAAACCACGAAGCATAAACTAACTTCCAAATAAATGATCAGCACTAAAAGTACTGTAACTGCACATAACAACTGGCAGGAAAGAGAAGTCACCGCAGTACATGAACTCCGACTGTGGGCTAGGCAGTAGTGCGGGAGTCATTTTACAGTATGTTATACTTATTAAATTCTCACAACAATAAAATAGGAGTATTTTTATTTCCCTTTTAGGAGACTGGGGCTCAGTGAGCTCAACTAACTTCTCACAATCACACAGCTAATAAGTAGAAGACAGGATTTAAACCCTGGTCTATCTGATTATAAAGACTATGCTCTTCCTGTTAAACCTTGCTGTTAACCATAAAAGACCAAGTTGGAAGAAGTTTCCAAAACCAAAAAATACTAAGAAATATTTACTGAGCACCTGCCATGTGCCAAGCACTATGCAAGGTGCTGTATTTCTGGGTGCTCCAATGGGCCTGATCCCTAATATTGTTGCTAGTTAAAAGGACCTACTAGAACATGACTCCTCATAATTTTAAGTATTCATCCAAAGTCTTCAGTTGCATTAGTTAAGGTATTACTAGGCTGATTTAACAACAGCAAGGTGTATCGAAATCTTATCTCATTTGCTCTTTC